TCCACAGCTGATTGGCATTTGAGTTGTTTCCAAGGTTTAGCTATGACAAATTGTGCTGCTATGAACATAGGAGCACATATATCACTGTAGTATGATGTTTTCAATTCTTCTGGGAAAATACCAAGAAGGAAAATAGCTGGGGTAAGTGGGACTTCTAATCCTAGTTTTGTGGGGACTCTCGACACTGATTTCCACAGTGGTTTCACCAGGCTATACTCCCACCAGCAGTGGAGAAGTGTTCCTTTTTCCCCACAGCCCCTCTAGCATTTGTTATTGGTGGATTTCTTAATGATAACTATTCTTTCTGGGGTGAGATGGAATCACAGTGTTGTTTTAATTTGCATTTCTCAAATGACTACTGATGTTGAATATTTTTTCATATATTTATTCTCCATTAGTATTTCTTCATCTGAGAAGTGTGTATTCATCTCAGATACACATTTTGGATTGGGTCTTTGAATTTGGGAGACCTAATTTTCTTTTTTAATTCTTTATATGTTCTAGATAGGAGTCCTTTGTCTGAGAGACAGTTGGCTAAAATTTGTTCCCAATTCATGGGTTTCCTTGTTACTCTGTTGTGAGTTCTTTTGCTGTGCAAAAACTTTTCAATAAGATGAGATTCCAGTTGTTGATCCTTTGAAGTATTTCGCCTGCAGTTTGGTTTTCGTTCATAAACTCTCTGCCTACCCCTATGTCTTTGAGAGTTTTACCTACTTTCTCTTCCAGTAGATTTAGTGTTTCTGTTTTGATATTTAGATCTTTGATCCATTTTGACTTTAGTTTAGTACATGGTGATAGACATGGTTCTAATTTTAGTCTTCAGCATGTGGAAAGCCAGTTTTTCCAGCACCATTTATTAAAGAAGTTATCTTTCTTCCAGTGAACATGTTTGGCCCCTTTGTCAAAGATAAGGTGGCTGAGTGTGTTTGTAGCTGTGTCTACATCTTCTAATCTGTTCCACTGATCTTCGGTCTGTTTTTTTGCCAGTACCATGCTGATTTTATCATAGTAGCTTTGTAGTATAATTTCAAGTCTGGGACTGTGATGCCTCCTAACTTTCCTTTTTTTTTCCAAGACTGCTTTTGCTATTCTAGGCCTCTTCTGGTTCCAGATGAATTTTAGGAATGTTTTCCATAGATTTTTGAGGTATTCTAATGTTATTTTAATTGAGATTGCATTGAATCTGTACAATAATTTTGGGAGTATGATCATTTTCACAGTGTTGGTTCTTCTTATCCACATGTAAGGAATATCTTTGCATTTTCTGAAATCCTCTTTGATCTCTTTATTCAGAGTCCTGTAATGTTTACTATATATATCTTTTACTTCTTTTGCTAGGTTGATTCCTAATTATTTCATTTTTTAGATGCTATTATGAAAGGTGTGGTTTCCCCAATTTCTCTCTCAGTCTGTTTGATGTTTATGCACAAGAATGTTGTCAAGTTTTGAGTGCTGGCTTTTTATCCAGCTATATTACTGAATTTGGTTATTGAATCTATAAGCCTTTTGGTGGAGTTTTTGGTGTCTTTTTTGTACTGTATCATGTTATCTGTGAATAATGATAATTTCACTTCTTCCTTTCCTATCATTCCTCTTAGTTCTCTCTCTTGTCTAACTGCTATGGCTAATATTTCCAGAACTACATTGAATAGGAGGGTGACAGTGGACATCCTTATCTTGTTCCTGATTTTAAGGTGAAAGCTTTCAATTTTTGACCAGTTAAAATGATGTTAGCTGTTGCTTTGTCATAGATGACTTTTATCAGATTGAGGGAAAGACCATCTATTCCTGTTTTCTGTAGGGTTTTTATCATGAATGAGTGTTGGACTTTATGAAAAGTTTTTTCTGCATCAGTTGAGATGATTTTTGTCTTTGGCTCTATTTACATGGTGTATTACATTAATTGTTTTGTGTATATTGAACCATCCCTGCATTCTTGGGATGAATCATTCTTGCTCACAGTGTATAATCTCCTTGATGATTGGTTGTATTCTGTTTGCTAGCATTTTATTGAGAATTTTTGCATCTATATTCATTAGGGAGTTTGGACTGTCGTTTGATTTTTGGTTGGGTCTTTCTCTGGTTTTGATATCAGGATAATACTTGCCCCTAGGAATGACTTGGGGAGAATTCCTTCCCTTTCAAATTCATTAAAGAGTTTAAGAAGAATTGGCACTAAATATTCTCTAAATTTATTGTAGAATTCAGCTGTGAATCCATCAGGATGTGAACTTTTCTTCATTGGCAAGCTTTTTATTACATTTTCAGTTTTGCTGGCTGATACTGAGTTATTCAGGATTTTTAAATCTCCATTTGGCTTTTGTAATTCATATATATCTAGAAATCTGTCCATTTCCTCTGTGTTTTCTGTTGTATGAGAGTAAAGATTTTCAAAGTGGGTATTAATGATCTTCTGAATTGCTACAGTCTGTAGTGATTTGACCCGTTTCATTCCTTATTGCATGTATTTCAGTGTTTTCTTTCCTTTTAAATGAGTTTCTTGTATACAGCATGTTGTTGGATTTTGTTTCTTGATCTCTGCCAGTGTAATTCTTTCGATTGGTGTATTGAGACGGTTTACATTGATAATTATAAGTGATATGTATTGGCTTATCTTTGTCATGTTCTTTTCCTACTGTTGGTTCCTCCTTTTTCCCTCTGTTTAATTGTTTACTCTGCTTGGTGGTTCCTTTCTCTTGTTCTTGAAGTTGTGTTCTTTTTTTAATCTCTTCTAGAATATCTTTTAGTACTCTTTTTAGGGTTGGCTTGATGCTCATGAATTTCTTGAGTTGTTCTTTATTGTTGAAATATTTTCTTTCTCCATTAATTTTGAAGGGTAGTTTTGCAGGATAGATCAATTTGAGTTGGAAGTTGTTTTCTTTAAGGACCTGAAATACTTCACTCCAAGCTCTTCTTGACTTGATGGTTTATGGTGAGAAATCTGCTGTGATTCTGATGGGCTTTCCTTTACAAGTGATTTGTTTCTTTTCTCTAACAGCTTTTAATATTCTGTTCTTTCATTGAGTTTCTGGGATCTTGATCACTATATGTCTGGGTGTAGATTTATTTTGATTATGGGTAATTGGAGTTCTATATGCCTCACTTACCAGTATGTCAACTTTTTTTCCCATGCTTTGGAAATTTTCTGCTATTACTTCTGCAAATAGTCTTTTATGTCACTTGTGTAGATGTCTGCCATTCCACTGACACTTATTAATCATAACTTGTTCTTTGCTTCATCTTGTAGGTGTTGAATTATTATTTCCTGGTTTCTTGTTGTTTTTAGGAGATCCTTCATTTCATGGTCATTAGCAGCAAATGCTTCATGTCTTCATGGTCTGAAAGTCTATCTTTAGCTTTGTTCAAGTGGTTTCTCCAGCTTTCTATGGAAGTGTTAATTTCCTGGATATCCATTTGAATCTGTTTCATGCATTGTAGTTCTTTCCTATATCATTCAGTCAAGGTTTCCATCAATTTTCTATGCTCCTCTATTTTCTTTTCTATGTCTTCTTTAGATGTGCTGAGCAATTCCTTCATTTTTATTGCCATTTCTTTTTTTACCTGAGAGCTTATTTCTGATCTGACATCTTCTATGGCCTGATGGAGTTGTTTCTTTACTTCAGTTGCTATCATTTCAGAAATTTCAGATGTATGACTTACCAGTTCTGTGTCTATGTCTCCTGGACTTGTTCTGGATGGGGTGGAAGTCTGAGATTGCATTTTGCTTCTTCATTTTGTCATTTTTGAAGATCCAGAGGCCTCCCCTGTGCTCAGCATGGCCCCCGTGATGTTGTGTAGGGGCAGGGTGTGGTTGCCAATGCTCTTGAAGCTGTCTGGGGCTCAGCTTGGCTCCCATGCAGGGTTCCCAAAGCTGTCTGGGTTTCAGCCCCACTTCCACAGGGTGCAGGAGTGGGCGGGTCATGGTCCTCATGGCTTTAGACACTGATCTTCACCCAGCCTTGTTCCCACACCAGTGAGGGAGGGCTGAGTGTGCAGGCACCGAGGCAGCTGAAGCTTTTTGAGTTTCAGCTCTGCTCCCCTGAGCATGTGGGGGGGAAGCAGTGGTCCCCTGAAGCTTTCTGGGGCTACACCTGCCTGGCATGCTGGTGGGGGAGGGGCTGGGGCTGCTCACTGGGGTTCCTGAAGCTGTTTGGGGTTCAGCTTGGCTTCTGCAAGGATGCCAGGGGCCCATCACATAGTTCTTTACCACAGCCATTGGTCAGCTTCCTATGACAGTAAAGTCTCTTTGGGTCACAACACCAGTGGCAAACACGGAGACAGAGAGGGAGACACTGACAGAGTGGCTGAGTGTGAAATGGAATTCCTGCAATTCCTGGGTAAGGATGGTGTGCAAGGAGAGCACAGATGTGTGACTGCCCCCTCAGAGAACTCTGCCAGAACTCTGATCACAAGACAGCAGTGTTGGCTGATGGACCACTTCTTGCCAGCATCAGTCAGACATTGTATATCTTCCTTATTTCCTCATAATTTGTTACTCAATTAATACTGATGTGTATGTATTTGTAAGTGTGAGTGTGTGTGTGAGCATGAATGTGTGTTTTGGGCAATGCTGGGAACCCAACCCAGGCCCTTGCATATGCCAGGCAAGAGAGACACTACTGAGCTGTGCTTCCAGGCCTGATTCATTTTTTTTTTTTTTTCTGCATTTGTTTTTAGTGGACTAAAACATATTGGGTGTTAGAGGCTCTGTAATACTGTGCTTGTGTGTGCAGTAGAAAGAGCAAGTGGTAAGTTTGTTTTCTTCATTTTAGTGCTAGTTCCTTGGGCTGTCATCCTTATTTCTGTTAAAGTTTCACAGTTCTTTTTATTTTCTCAGCTGAGTTCTGTTCCCTCAGGCCTTTGGGACATCCTTATGAATAGTAGAAGGGAAGAAATATATGAGTGCACGGGGAAGTCATTGCCCCATGGTTCTACTACAATACTTTTTATGAAGTAATTTATTGATATTTGAAATTATATATAAATTTTTGTGAGTGAAATTGTCATCAAGTGGCTCAAGACGTGTCTCTTGCTTCAGCTGGTGAGATGCTGCACGCTGAACTTTGCTGGTTGCAGTTTGCTTGCTCCTTGGCATCACATAGCTCTGTACCACAGCTGCTGGTCACTTCCCTATGACAAAGTTGAGTGGCAGGAAAAATAGATTTGGGGCCAGTGCACCTTTACAAGATGTGCATAGTGTAAGATGCCTTCATGGCTAGCACATACTGATAGTTCCTAAAGGGAAAAATAATTGTCCACATTAAAGTGCAGCTGTTGTGATGTATATGGACATTTTACTGTCAACTATGATTTCAAAAATAAAATTATATCACTTTTCAGGGCTTAAGTTGCTCTACATTATATTTTAAAGCAATAGTACTTTAAGAGCAGCTATATAGTGCTCTCTTACTTCACAGAATAAATCACTGGGGTATTCTTGTATTCCTTACAGTACAGGGAAGATACAAACCATCAGTGTAATTTTATTTAAATAGTATCTCATAAGTTTTAAATTAATTTCCCACGATTTCTATAATCATTTTCTTTTAAAAAATCATTATTGTTTTCTACATATGTTTGTTTTTTGTTTTTAAATGCTAACAATGTCCTGTAAATAAAGCAAAATTATAGGGGGCAATGAATCTTAGCATATTATTTTAGATAAAATAGTTTTGGTAAAAGCCTACATGGTGCTTTGGGCAGCCTCCCGGGACAGTGTAAGAGCTAATTCCCCAGACCAACACTGCCCAGAAATGTCTCCCCAAGATAAGGGGGCACCTAGGCCTAGGTAACCCTCCGTGACCCTGCCTGGGCAGTTCCATCTCCTGGCCCTAGGTAAACACTGTAACCCTAAAGGAATGCATAGGTTGTGAAACAGGAGACAAATGGAATATAATGGGGGGGAACATCTGTCATGGTTAGACATGTGACCTGTAACTGACCTGGGGTCCAGCAGGATGAGAGAAACACCATATGCCTACCGGGGTCAGAGAATGTAACATCCCAATGTGTTACCATGGAAACCAAAAGGTGAAACAAAGTTGGCCATTGTCCGCTTCCAGATTGGCAAGGGAAGTGAGGGTGGCTAGCCTCAAAATAAACTCTGGTTTGTTCTCAATAGACTCGGGTTTTCTTGTGGAATACAGTCCAATTGGTGCCAGGGGAACATCTGTCATAACAAAGTAAACTTTTTCTAAGCTATTGTGCTCATTTGAAGACTTCTAAATTCACAAAGAAGAATTCTGTTTCCACAATCTATCCCATTCTGAAGTTTAAAACACTGAAGAGGCTTTATTCTCCAGTTTTATTTTTATACCAAAGAACAGCCCTGGGGGGATCCCTCCTCTCCTAGGAAAAGATCTCCGGATGGCTGGCAGTGGCATTGGGTACTGAGCCCTGGCCCCTGCAGACCATGGCTGCAGCATCACTGTGTCACAGCAGGTAGCTCAGGTGGCCAGGGGTCAAGAACCCGGTGTTTCAGTGTGGTCACCTACCCAGTGTCTCCCAAGACAAAATCACCCTGCGGCTGGCTGCGTTCTCATCAGCGTTTCCTGGGGAGACGTGGTTGGTGCGGAGCTTGCTCAGAGGTTGCAGAGCTCCTGCCTGATTCTCACCACAGTCCTGCTGCCTGGGCCAGGCCACCACCACCCGGGGCCTTTCGGGCCTCCAGTGGCGTGTGCATCCCTGGGTCTCAGCCCTTTCAGGAGGAGGAGGAGAGGTGTTTCCATGCTCTGAATCACTGCCTTCAGGAAGGGCCCAGCTTTCTTCTAAAGGAGCAGCTTATTAAGGTCTGCCCCCTCTTAATGAATTTAAAACTAACTGATTTATGGCCTCAGTTACATCTGGAAAATCTTTTACCCTTGGCATAAAATATGACCTAACCTGAAGTAGAAAATCAGTAACGTTTATGGTCCTGACTCACCTGGGGAGATGAGATGGCTGGGCCGTGTGTGGGCACTGAGGGACAGTATCATGGTGCCATCCGGGAATTCTGGCCACTACAGCTTTGACCTTTGTTCTGAAAAGAGCAATCCACATTCTGCTGATTGAGAGATTCAAACAACACAGGAATTTCTCCCAGATATTAGAGCTGCTATTACAAATTTGAAGGATGAGATTTTTGTGGTTGATACATTGTGTCAACTTGGGGAGTCTAGAGGTTTGGCTAAGTGACTCAGCAGGAAGCCAGGGTGCTTACTTTGTATACATCCTGAGCCTGTGGAAGAGGAGGGCATGGAGATTATGTGAGAGCTACACACCCCTTAGGTGGGGGTAGCCTGTTTACAAAGTAAGGGAGGGAAAGAAGCTGCTTGCCGCCATTCCTCCTGTTTGCTCTGGCTGTTTGCTGTTCGGCTGCCATTCCCCCCTTTGATCTTGTTGCTTTGCTATAATCTGCCTCGGAGCCAGCCAGCTATGGACTGAAACCTCCACAAACTGTAAGCTAAATAAACCTTTCCTTCCTTCATTTTGGGCGTTGGGTATTTTGTCTCAGCAATGAGAAAAAAGTAACCAAGACAGAGATACAGTAAAGGATGAATGAGAAATAGCAGTGAGAAACAACTTGGTAGTCTATTCTGATGGTGTAGCTTCCATGGCTTATCTCCTAACTCCCTGAAAGTGACATCTAAAAATGCACAGTCTTAAAATGTTTCATTTGTATCAATGGGGTGTAAAAACTCTCAAAGACCTAAAAGTAAATGAAAACCAACACCAATGTGATAAAACTGAACATTGATATTAACATTTGTTTGGAGGCATTGATAAAACCAGGGGCTAAAATGTGTCAAGATAGTGCCCCAAATACACAGAAGCTTTGCTTTTAATCTCACATGAAACTTGCAGAAAACATAGGAAAATAGTTCTGGCACAGAAAAATATATCTTAAGACATCAAGAAAGCATAGGGATTTTATGTGACTGATAAAATAAAAATAAAGATAGTCAGAAAAGAGTAAAAATTCAGCTAACCTACAAGGAGTGGATGGGAGCAACACAAACAGTTGACAGAAGAGCAATTCCAAGGATAAATAAAGAATTCAAATTGATCGTTAAGAAAAAGATAAATATTAAAGTGGGCAAAATATTTGGGTAGACATTTGATAGGAAAAGCAACTAAGTGATCAGTAAACAAGGTCTAAAATTATGTTTAAGGCCGCAGGTAAGCAAGGAACTACAAGTCAAAAACCATGCTTCCACAATTGCCAAGATTAAAAACCACAGGGATATCAAGTGCTGACCAGGCTTGAGGAGGACACTTGCACTTTGCCGCCTGCAGTATAACTTTGAAAACAGTTCAGCGTTATATCTATAAAGAGTACGCTCATGCCATTTAAATGCGAGATGCCTATTCCTAAAACATACTCTAAAACAGTGCTGCTCAGGACTTTTCTCATTAGGCAAAGGGGAGTGATGAGGGTATGCAGATGTCTTGTTCTGGTGTAGATTCTAGAGATCACTAGTGGACATAATAGAGCTTAGATTTTGAAAAGCTCACTAGAGTCTCTGTTATATAGTTAATATTTTAAGTATAAAAACATTTTGATATGAGTTCAATATTAAATTTGTATAAAATGTCAAAGTAATATATGTCAAAATGCTTAAGGACTGTTGAATCTGTTTTGTGAAGGTAACTCTCACACCTGTACTTGAGTTACAGTACACCGTTCCTCATCACAGGTTTTGTATAAGGAACTCTCCATGGCCTCAGAGTCAGCACCAACAAAGAATTTTGTTCACTTAAGAAATTACAGCAAGTAAAATTACTTCTCAAAAATAACCCTGTATAGAATTAGAGCCTATAGTGAAGAGTATAAAATAGATTTTCCTTTTCTTCTTATGATAAAGTGGCAAATTCTTGCAAAAATATGAACACATTTGAATTCAGAAGGGCTTTTTAATATCAGTTATTCTGACATAATATAGAAACCGTAATCTGTACATAGCCAAATGTAATAAGCCTTCTTGTCATTCTAAGTGCACACAGGAATAAGCATGCAGATCTGGTGTTCTCAAAACAGAGATTTACAAACACTACACAGAGCTCCGACAGCTGTGTGTTGTGCTCCTTGGGCGTCTGAATCCCGAGCTGCAAGCTGCTCCTGGGACTCACTGTCTGTGATGGGCACTGGCTCAGTCTGTAGCCATCTTTTTAAGTACATTTCCTGTCCAAGGCACTAAATTTTGTGATAGGTGACCGAGCATCTGAAGACCCTTACCGCTCTCACAGCTACGGCGAACATGCCATGCCATGCTGGATTCCTGTGCTCTGAGCGTCCGCTGAGAGAATGCAGTCAGCCAGGTGCCAGTGTTGGAGCAGCTCTGCCAGTGGTATCAGCTGACCTGGACTTGCTAGACCAACATTATGCAGCTGTCCAGCACTGATGTGCCTGATTCCGGGAGAGCTGTGTCTCAGGAACGTTCTTTCACATGCGCTTGAGGCACATATATAAAAAAGGGATTAATTGAAGTACATCATTTGTAACAGGAAAAAATATAGGAAACCTACCCAATGTTCAAAAAATATAAGCAAAGAGACAAGACTACTTCAGTACCTTGAAAATTAATGAATTATAAACCCATGCAACAGTGCAGGTTAAGGGCAACATAGGAGCACGTTACATACAAGCATACAAAAACTAAACAATATTGTATATTTACTCAAATTCTCCTAATATTGTGTATTCTATGCACTAGACAAGTAAATAGGTGGAATGAAATACAAAGAAACACAAGAAAAGGAAAGAAATAATAGACACAAAATTTCATGATAATGGTTCTCTCTGAAAGAATGAAACGGAGTCAGACAAGGAAGCAATGTAAATGGTACTTCAAAGGTAATACAGCCTTTTCCCCCGTAAAATGCAGAGTGGACACCTACATGAGCATTGTGTCACTGTTCTTTATGGCGTAATGTATTTCACTTCATTTTGTTTTTGTAATCCAATAAAACCAAAGCAAAGGTAAAGTATAGCCTTGATATTTTTAAATCAACACACTGCCCAATGTGAAACAACTACACAAGTAAATGCAATCTTACATTAAAAAGATTGATTATGACAATTATTTTCATAAGAAATAAATCTTGAAATGTTCCAAAGGGGAAAAGAAACGTACAGACTTCAATAGGCAGTGAGGCCACAGCCCAGCACAAGGCTGGCGGAACGACCGGGCACCGGGCGGGATGCAGGGAGGAGCCTGCGGTGCAGATGTTCTGGGGAGGCGGAGCAGAATCCCAGACGTGAAGGTCCTGATGGTGAGTGAGCCTCAGAGAGTGATAGGAGCGGAGCCAGCCCAAACAGCCTTCCTCCCCGCAGTCTCTCCTCCCGTGTTCACCTGAGTGCGAGAGCAGTGAGTTCTGCCTGCTGGAAATGGAAGCGCTGGCCTCTGGGAGTGTAGAATGTTGTGCTGCTCTTCTTAAGAAAGAAGCATCTCCAATTCTTATCCACAAGGCAACAGTGATTTTTCCTCTTTGTGTAAAAGCACCTTCTTTATTAGTATACCCTAATGCATGGATATTGTAGTGGATTGACAACTGGTGGTCAGCTTATAACCCCCAGCTGAACTGAGTAAGCCTGGTGCTGGGTGTGGGAGGCCCAGCTGGGGACTGTTGCCAGCAGCAAAAGAGGTGGAAGTGGAGAAGAATAAGAAGAAAGGCTGTTGGGAACTGAGAGAGGTTGTTGGGAGCTGAGAGAGGCTGTTGGAGCTGGTGGAAGCTGTAAGGAGCTGTTGGTTCTGTTGGAGGAGCTTGTCATGTGGCTTTTCTGATGAATTTGGCTGTTTTCATTGTCTGAGGAGCTCAGGACCTCATTGGAACTGAGAGTGGCTTTGGTTCGCTTTGGGGGAGCTCTGGTCCTCACTTTGAGCATCGCTTCCTGGCTCCAGAAGGGAAGATGGTGCACTGACAGTCTCCTGGACAAGCTTGCTATGTCGGCTTCCCTGATGGGAACTCAGCCATCTTGATCATTGCAGGAGCTCAGGACCTCACTGTTGCTGAGGATGGCTCTGGTACCTTTCAGGAGCTCTGGTTCTTCTGAGCATCACTTCCTGGCTCCAGTGCAGATCCGTCAGCCTGCTAGCACAGATCCTTCATCCCACTGGCACAGACTTCCTAGATTCCATCACTGACCTTTGGGCCTTCCCAGCGCAGATCCATGAAACAGGCTTGCATGAGATGTCATGGGCTCTGGGCCTGCAGTTGGATTCATGGGAGGCATTGTTATGAGCTCTGGGTATTCAGCTGGACTCTTGCAGGACATTTCCATGGGATCCAGGCCCTCAGCTAGTTTCCTTGGTCCTAGTGTGTGGACAGATTTCCCGTACTCTCTTGTATATCATTCTTCAGGTGACTATTATAAATAATCTTATAGAACATGTGTCCTGTATTATATTTTTCTCCCTTGCAAAATATTGCCCCAAACCAACACAGATGTCCACAGTCATATTTTCATTAAGGTTGGATTGGTCACATTGGAGTAAATTTACTTCCAAGACATAAGAGTAGATGACTAAAAGGTACTCAAGTCTACAGACTCAACAGATATTTATATATCCAATAATATTATATTGAACAAATGTTGGCTTATCAATGAACAAAAGCAGTTCAGTCTAACAAGTTCTCAGCCATAGGTGATCTCACATTCCAAAGGAGAAAGAATAAGTATTCGTACTGCACTGCAGAGACCTCTTCTCAGGAAACCTCCCAATAAGAAGAGCTTCCACTCTTGAAGTCTTAAAGATCTGTACAAGAGTTGCATGCAGCCTTCAGCTGAGCATCAGAGAAGCGACAAGGAAAATGCAGAACACTTGAAAGTCCAAGTGCAGATCGCCAGGAAAAGGTCTAGTCACAGGAATTTGGACTCTCAGGCTTGTACTGTATGAGGATGTGAGACTCAAATTCATAATACTCATGAACTGTGGAGAGGTCACACAGCAGACAGACAATTTCACAACCAATGAGCTAGCTGTAGGGACACTGCTTGGCTGGGCAGCAAGGGGGCTTGCTTGGGGCCTGTCTCCCAGCACACAGTATGCACATTCCCATGGGAAGAATGATAACCTGACACTGCAAGAATCTGATAGCTAGGAATAGAAACATAAGCTCAGGAAGTATGTTTAAAATCAAGGAAGAGTTTTAGAAAAAGTAAAAAGCATGAAAAAGAACTCAAAGATTTTGAGAGTGGTCTGACAGACTTGATCAGGAAGACTTGTTTGAGACTTTGATAAGAAGTAAGTTAAAATGCTGGTGGTAGAGTAGATAATTATATAATTAATTAACTTTCTTCATTGCAAAGTTCCTTGAAAATAATTTTGCTAAGATTTCAGCTTTCCTGACAGCCATAAGTGCATTTGGTACATAATTTCAGTCAGTGAGATATATATTGACACTTGCTGAGAATTTCTGGGAGAACTGTACTCTTTTGAAATAAGTATCACCCATTATAACCTCCTCCCCGAAGGTGATATATGTGTACTGTAATCACACACGTGAAAGCCACATGCGGAAGTTGGAAATAAGAGGCTGGCCCTCCCAGGCCACTTGGAGCGAGTCCTCACCCATGATTTCCGCTTCTTGCTGTTTAGAAAATGCTTGTGCTCTAACTCCTACCGCCCCGCACGTTTGGTTAAGCCGTTAGATTTTTTTCTTCTTGACACTGAATGTAATTCTGTTTCTTAGATCCTGACTCTATGAAATTGGGATGCAGGCTTCTTTAGGTAACATAAGAAATAGTATTTGTTTAATGAAGAAAATTTAGGAAGCAGTTCTTTCTCCAAAATAAGTGCAGGCATTGTGAAGTTACAAAAAGGTTTATCTTTGCATTCTATTCCGATTTTCCTTAGTGAAGATGTTTAGCTAGCTTAAACCCACTGAAATATGTAATTTGTACAGCATTTTAAAATCAAAGTTACATTTGGTATGCATGAAGAAGCATTAAATTATAGTCCAATCAAGATTTAAAGTGTAGTATAATTCTCCTGGAATATTTGATTAAAAAATAAGTTCAGGTGAAATCAATAATACATATACATTAAATCAAAAAACTTGAATATTTTGCCCAGTTATTAGATTGAAATCTCTGGAATTAACACATTTCCAAAGTCATTTGATGCTCAGTAAGTAGTTATTTCTCCCTAGGTGTTTATCTAATGTCCAGCAGTGTTCTACTAAGAGGAGGTGGAAAAGTTTGTGCTCCTGAAATAACCGTCGTTGTGTTATATCAGTAGAGTAAGAGCAAAGCTGAGGGTTGTAGTTGTTCTCTGGCCTAGAGTTGTGCTACGCAAGGAGAAAAAGGGTAATGCTCTGTATTTTGAAAGGAGGAGAATCTTCAGGCTACAGACAGCTCAAGCACGTATAAAGCCAATGTGAGTGTAAAGGGCTTATTTTTGGATCACTTACCAGACCTTTAATATTTCCTAATAACGAAGTGTAGTGGACAGAAGCACCACCTCCTGGGCGGGTCTGTTCCCTTCACGCTGAACCCGCGCACGGCTGCTGGGAGAAGTCGCCGCAGGCCTCTGCTCTCCCACTCCGGCTTATGCATTATTAAAACGGAATCATGCGGAGATTTCCACTTCCATTTTCTCTCTCACATGAAGTTATGATCCCAAAGATGTTTGCGGTAAGGTTCAGGGCCCAAGAAATAACTCCCTTGTGAAGTAACCTCAAAAGAGGGAAATGGACTCAAAGAAGAAGATGGAAGGATTGCTCCCTCCCCGCGATTGGTTAGGGCAGTCAGTTACTTCTCTGCTTTGACCAGGTCGGTGCGCTTCTCTGTCCGCGTGACCACCACAGCCCTACCGGGTAGAGCGGCTCAGCAGCCCACCGTGAGCTCGTGCTTCCTTGACAAAGTGCACGGACGGAGTGGCTCCTAACCGCAGAAACCTGATCCTTGAACCGCAGAAACCTGATCCTTGCAGCTCCAGAGCCGGAGGTTCACAATCAGCGTGCGAGGACGGTGGGTTCTGGCGGGCTCCTCCCCCAGGTGGCAAATTTCCACCTTCCTGTCTTACCTTCCCATGGCACAGCGCTCTCGGCTTTTCTTTCGCAGGGATACTAACCCCACTCAAGAATCGCCAGCCTCGGAACCCAGCCTCCTCTAAGTCACCACCTACTGCCTCAGTGAGAGTAAGTACTCCAAGATACACATTTTGAGAGACATAAATATTCAGTCCATTTAATTATTCACTTAACGCTGTATTTGTTTAGCATTTCCTACATGAATAAAAAGTAAAAGTACAATTTTGACAAAACAAAATATCTCAAGTGCACGACCTGCTATATCAAAATGCTTTGAGATGCCTAAGGAAGAAGCGTCTGGCAAAAGAACCAAAGTTTTCAAAGAAACTGTGATACTGGAACTCATTCTTGGAGTGGAGAGGTGAGCTGAGGATATAGCTCAGCGGTATAAGTGC